CAGCAAAACTTTTTGCAAATAAAAGAACCATCCAGAAATGCAAATTTGGGTAATAGCTGTTATTTAAATATGTTGTAGACATTATGAGACACCTATCAGTCATACTGGCTGTCTCTACAATAAGGGTATCATTACTAATGGTGTTTTGGCACTTGGAAAATGCCAGACTGTATTTTTATTAGCCTACCCAGTCTCTCCAGGTAGTCTATACATCTTTACAAGTAAGGATCATTTCTTAACTCTCTTTTAATTTTCATTACTTAGTACAGTATAGAAAGCACAAGGTAGGTAATCATTGATTATATCATAAAAGTAGCTAATAGCTGCCATTTATTGATCCCCCTTCCATGTGTCAGACCCTGTGCCAACCATTTTTACAAACACTATCTCTAATTTGTACACTTGAACAATCACTCCAAAAGAAAAAATTATCCCCATTTTACAGATTAAGAAACTGAGAGTCATAGAGATTGCAAGACTAAGCTGAAGCTATACTGCTAGTTTAATAAAAATGATTATGCATGTAATGAATAAAATATGTTTTAAGTAGTAGATAGTCACAGTTAACAGTTTAGAAAAGCAGGAACTAAGTTAAAGTATCACTAATAACTGCTAATTGCTGACATATTCATTATCCTCATCAACTATTTATTCAGTGTCTGCTAGGATCAGGGAGCTGCCTTGGGTGTTACTTAACCTCAGAACCCAAAGCTTTGCATCAGTGTTTAGAAAACAAATTAAATGTGTGAATGTTCATTTCTTTCTTTAAAAAAAAGTTATTGAATTTATTGCGGTGAGATTGGTTAATAAAATTATATAGGCTTCAGGTGTACATCATCTGTATATTGAATTGTGTGTTCAGCATCCAAAGTCAAGTGTCCTTCCATTACCATTTATCACTCCCTTACTTTCTTCTACTCCCTCGACCCCCCTTCCCTCTGGTAATCATCATACTGTTGTCTGTGTCAGGGTTTGTTTTTTTCTTAATCCCTTCCTTCACCTTTTCACCAAGCCCCCCTCTCCCCTCCCCTCTGACAGCTGTCAGTCTATTCTCTGTATTAATGTTTCTGTTTTCTGATGGGCACTCCAACTTTTTGGGGGTTTGTCTGAACATTGTCAGATCATTGGCAAAACAGTAGTTTCTAGGTAATTAACATTTTTGTTTGTTTATTTTTGCTTACATTAGAGAGTAACTCAGACATCTCCTCTACAAGTACCTAACCCGTCTTGGATGCACCACCAGTCATACCTCATACAGCCTTCAGTGAGTGTTCAGAAGTGGGCAAAAGCCAAAGAGGCAATTTAATGTAAATAAGAACACTGGGATTTGATGACAGGGGATGCGGGTGTGAGTTCTGGCTCAGGCCCTTGTGTAACGCAGGTGTATGACCTTAAATTTTGTGAGTTTGCTATTAGGCAGGGATCCCTCCAGACTGATGGGCAGAGTGCCTGCCTATTCCTGTTACATAACTGGGTTGCTGCTCACCTCTCATTTCCCAGGATTTTTAAATGTTCCTGGTAACCATGAATCACTGCTTCAGGCAGACTCACAGAATGCTGCCAACTAACCCTGACCTTTGTCGCTGCCTCTAGGGTTCAGTTTTGACACCAGGGATGGATCACCCCATTTCTCTCCAGCCTGCCTCTATGATGGGACCTCTTACCCAGCAACTGGGCCACCTCTCACTCAGCACCACGGGCACGGTAAAGCAGGATATTTCTGATTATAAATTCCTACTGAGGAAGGAATACCTGCGTAATACTTTTTAGCATAAATACTTAACGATGATGAGAATTGCTTCAGTGTCCCTGAGGGCACACTCTGAATAAGTGGTAAACTAAAAAGATAATAATCCATGAGCCAGGAATTCTGCTCCCCAGCTCACTCCTTTTAACTGATTCCTACTCATGAAACTAAACAAATGGTTTCTATGTACATAGTAGTTTATCTAGGTCATTCACATTTCCTAGAAATCCTTGTTAAAATAGTAACAAGAAGAATGGACGAAGCTCTTTAGGTTCTCGTAGGTCTGCTGCATTCTGATTTACACAGGAGGGCTTAAAGACAGAGAAGGCAGTGCACTGAGGAAAAGCAGAAGACAGGAGAGAGGAGAAAAGGAAGTCATGTATGTAGAAGTCTCTCTAAGCCAGTGTACTTTAGAATCACCTGAAGTGCTTTTTAAAAGCAGTTAAATTAGACAGTTAGCCCTGGCCGGTGTGGATCAGTTGAGCTTCATCCCGTGCACAGGAGGGTCGCCAGTTTGATTCCCAGTCAGGGCACATGCCCAGGTTTTGGGTTCAGTCCCAGTCAGGGTGCAGATGGGAGGCAACCGATCAATGTTTCTCTCTCACATCAATGTTTCTCTTTTTCTCTCCTTCCTCTTTCTCTCAAATCAATAAAAACATATTTTTTAAAAAAGAAAATTAGACCATTAAATTAGACTCTCTGGGGATGGAACGTTCCCAGGGTGCTTTAAATGTAGCCAAGAATCACTGCTCTCAGCCTATTAATGTTTTTCATTCCAGTATATGCCAACAGCTGCAGCTATGCAAGGAGCTTACATCTCCCAGTACACCCCTGTGCCTTCTTCCAATGTTTCAGTTGAGGTGAGAGCTTTGTAATCTCTTTGGATTGAGGATAAGAAAATGAACAGAGGCAGATTTTCCGTTCAAGATCTTCCTCTCACACTGATGCTGATTCTATGTTCACAAATAGCTGGTAGGCATGTGAAGAATGTAGGAAGGAAAGACTTAGTTTGTGTCCTTGAATGAGGCCCTTCCTGACATTTGGCCACGTAGTAAATACCAGGATGCTAGCTTGTATTTACTAGTGTTTCTTGGGAAGAGAAATAGGCTGCTCTAAATGTTGGGGAAGTAATGCTGTGTGTGTGACACATTGTGCCATGTGCATGTGCACACCAACCCTGATGTGTGGGAGTGGGTAGGCTGGGGAAAGTACTCAACTCTGGGTGGGTTTTATTTAGGCTGCTTTAGTGGGAGGTGAGGTAAGGATGCACAAGGTGACTCTCCTACTTTGGCTCTGGTTACAGGAGAACAGCGGCCAGCAAAATCAAGTGACTATGGATGCTCCCTCAGACCATGGGGTCTATTCTTTCCATTTCAACAAGTAACAGTGGTAAGAATCACATGCGGAGGGCAGGGTGTGCTGAGCAGCTTGAAGTCAGACAGGGTCTCATGCTTGTCATTCCCCCTCTCTGCCCTCTCCGGCTTATTCCTCCTTTAGGATTCCCCTCCCCGTCTTTGTTGAATACAAATGAATTCTTGGAGATGCCGATGCTCCCAGACTCCAGAGGGTGAACCAGGAATACAGATCATCTGTGGGCCCTGCTAAGACCTAACACTTGGCCATCGTTTTTCACAGGCCTGGGCCTAAGAAAGAAATCTCTGCACTCCTGTCCTCTGCTCTTCCTCCATTCCTGATGGAGCCTGGGGGAACTGTCACTTTTGGTGTGTGCTACATTCAAGGATATCGAAAAACCTTTTTTTCTTTCTTTTGCAAAGAAAGTTTTATGTTTTGTATATATATTTTTTAACTACAATATACTCTTCCCCTACCCCAAAGAGACATGGTGCCTGGAGCTTCTGATCTTTATGAAAAGCACTTCTTTGATGTGTTGAACTTATTTGGGAAGGCTTTTAAAAATTTTTGTTATTTCTTAAGAAAAAAGGAAGGAGTGGTGCTAGAACATTGAAGGAGTCCTACTGTGGGCCCTTCTTACTGAGTTTAGTTACGGACTTTTTTTTGGTGTGTCTAAGAAAATATGCAGTTTTAAATTTTTGTTTTATAAAGCTCTTAACTCACACATCCCATCTTTTCTTCACTCATTTTATGCCTGCCTTCTCTCATCCAGATTTTTCTTCTCTTTTCCATACAACAGAACTTGACTATTTCAACTTTTTCCTTTTTTTAATTTTGTGAATTTCTCTTTTGAATGAAATTTTCACATGGAATTTTCGTTGCTTGTAAGTTATAGAAGGGTAGACTTAACTGACTTCTGAGTAATTCTTCTCACTGCCAAGGCCAACACCCTCTAAGGAAGTGTCTTCTCTAGCTATAGCTTTTCAAAAATACCAGCTTTCCTGCTTCCTAGAGGTTCTTATCTGCTCTGGGTCTAAGGGGCCCCTCTCTTCCCCATCCCACATTGCTGTGCTGGGAGCCTTTGCAGTTATGACCTTGCTGAATCCACTTAGGCTCCTTCCCCACTGTGGAAGTTGCTTCACCTCCAGACTGGTGGTTTTAAAGATGGTTTTGTCCCCTAGAGACCATTTTGCATTCCCTGGAGACATTTTTTATTGTGGTGCCTGTGGGTGGGGGCTGTGTGCTACTGGCATCTAGTGGCTAGAGACCAGGGATGCTGCTAAACATACTACAGTGCACAGGAGAGCCCCAACACCCCCAGCAAAGAATTATCTGGCTCAAAATGTCAGTAGTGCAAAGGCTGAGAAACCTTGATGGAGACGTGTTGTCCCTGACTCCTGATCAGAGGATTTGGTAAGTTTCCACTCCAACCCTGGACACACAGTGCCTTTTGATACTAGTGCAACTAGTTGAAAGTGACAGAAATGGGGTCCTTTAAGTTTCCTCAAGCTTTGACCTTTGATACCTCTGCATACCCTCGAAAGGCTTGTGCTGTTATGCACACACACATACATAAGGATCAAAGTGTAAGGACTGTTCGGTGTGTGTGCTGTGCAGGGGTGGGAAAGGACAAAGCTCTCTGTCACTGTCCTGCCCTGGTGTGTTTGGGCCCCTTTGCCAGGAACCAGTAATTTTCCTTCTTGTGGAAAGACAACAGGGAGCTAGGATAGAAAATGGCAATAAATCCCATCTCATTATTTATAATATCGGGAATCTTCTATTTTTTTAAGAGTACCTTTTAAAAGCCTAAATTTTCTCTTCAACTCCCATCTCCTGCAAATCCTCACTCTATACACATGGAGACAGAGGAGAAAGCCTTCCCCCATCTCCTAGGAAATACTGTCCCGCACCCACCTTCTCCCAGGCCTTCCCTTATACACTGAAAGTTCTGCTCCCTTCACTTCAAGGTCAGGTGCCTTTCCACCAGACGATCAGAGCGAAGGCCAGATGACAGGGGATGGAAACAGGTGTTCAGCAGGCTGGCTGTCAGGAGAGGAAGGATATGATGTTAGGGGGGGGAAGCTGTATTGGGCACAGCTTCCCTTCCCCTCCACTCACCCCAGAATTGAGAGTCCAAATGTCCCCTACCCTTAGACTGTCCTTTTGTACATCCCCCGTGTGTGTGTGTGTGTGCGCGCGTGTGTGTGTATGGGGGGGGGACGACACAATGGATAGGATATAAAGTGTAAAGGACAAAATTGCCACTATTAATTTCTCGTGGTGCTTCCAACCTCAGGAAGGGTTCATCCAATAAACAGCCCCAAGCTCAATAACCTTCTAGAAGGGTTTAGCTGGGCAGGTAGCTCATTTCCTACTTAAGGAAAGTACACTGTAGATTTCTTGTCAGTAGCCTTGAGGAAAAAGAGAAAAAAAATCTAGATTCCTGTTTATTTGATAGTAGCTTGGAGGGGCCTTACTATGTGTTTCAGTGCAGTGGGGACCTTTCACAGGTGGAAACCATTTATGTCACTGCTGCCCCTCCTCTGCCTCCCAGAACTCCTGATTCTCTGTATTAAAAAAAAGTTTAAATGTCTGTGACTTTGCTTTGTTTTAAATTCTGAAATTACCTTTTGTGTGCCTTCATGTGAATCTACTTCATGAATTCTGTTGAATGTTTCTGGTTTGGGCAGGTTTGGTTAGGCATGGGAATGATGGGGAGCCTGAAGTTATTTTTAAAATATATCTTTATTGATTTGAGAGAGGAAAGGAGAGGGAGAGATAGAAACATCAATGATGAGAGTCATTGATTGGCTGCCTCCTGCAAGCTCCTGCCTGGGGATCGAGCCCGCAACCCGGGCATGTGCCCTGACCAGAAATCAAATCCCAATCGCCTGGGTCCTAGGTCAATGCTCAACCGCTGAGCCACGCCCGGCCAGGCCTGAAGTTATTTTTGTAGTGGTTAATGGCACTGTGGAATTTCTTCTTGGTGTTTTTGGGTTACCCTCATGATATTTTCTCCTAGTTGTTAGTTCATTTCTAACAGTTCAAACATGGGTGATTGGATAAAGGAGAGGGGAGGAATGAGGGATAGTTTTTCTCTCATGAAATAGCCTAGTGGTGGCAGGGGAATTGTAGGGGAAAAGCAGCTCACAGCCTAGGGCTGGGCTCTTTATAAACACTACTGCCTAGTGTTTCTGAATTGTCTTCGTAGAGCCCAGATAATAGCTTCTCTGCATGTCAAATCTCATCCCCACTCATTACAGATGCTCATAACATTCTTAAAATACTTTAGTACTGTGTTTTTGTTTTTAGTCAAATAGAGCACTCTCAAGTCCCTTCTTCAAATGATACCGTCCTTTACTAGGCTCAGAGCTTGCCTGTCCCATATCATGCCAGTGTTATTACTGTTCCTCTCATACTGAGATGATACACAGACCCCAGGCTGCTAAGACTTTTTGGAGAGTATGGGTAGAGGTTAGGGAAGATGTGGGAAATGAAGATGAGAAGTGTTACTTTTTAACCAAAGAATTTGAAGAGCTGCCCAGACTTGGAAGCCTGATGGCTCAGAAGCAGCAATAGCCCTTGTCAGTAATAACTGGGGATGGTAGAAAGACATTGACTTGCACTGAGGATGAAAACTAGACCTTGCTGCACTATAGACCATCCCTGGGTTGGGCTACTTCAGCCCAGTTTCATTTTTCTTCCTTTTCCAGCTTATGGATCAGTGAGCTCATTCCCCCCCTTGGTGCCTGCAGCACTCATTCCCTGATGCTTCAGTGTCAGCCCTTTGGGGGCCTACATGTGGGTTGGTACTTTGCAGCACAAAGGTGCTGCTAGAGGCCTTGCTGGAATGGAATGTTGTAGGGATCCTGGACAGAGATAGTTTTCTAGAAGAAATAAGAGTCACTGCAGTTCTTGCACACATGCTCCACCTTCTGGGAGAGCAGCAGCATTGCACTCATGAGGATACTTTGACCTTATCCAAGGGCAATAAACTTGGATGGGTAATCAGGTCTAAACTTGTCCCCAGCCCTGATAGACTAGCTTCAGAGAAAAAGGGTGGGTGTTATAAAAGCCAACCTGTAAGGGCTAGGTCTTAAATCTCATGCCTTATCATATCAATTCTTCCCAATTCCCTCTTAAGCCAATTTCTGTGCTTACCTGTATTTTAAGTCCTTCCGAGCATTAGCAGATCCTTCATATTTACTCAGCTTTTCCCCTTCCTTTCTTAGGAGGAAGGGCATAAACACCTGGTTTACATTTTTCCTTTATTCTGTTCTTCCCATCATGAGAGTTAGGAAGCTGGGAGCTAGAAATGTTCATGATCAAGTGCAAAAACTCCTTTGGTTGTTTCTGGTCACCCTGGAACTCTTCAATTAGGTCTTGCTGTGGGAGGCCAGGGGGATAAACTGTGTAATGACAGCCTGGCCTAGGATATTAACCAATACTTGGGAGCCATTCCCAGGAACACCAACATTGGAGCAGAGCTCAGAATTTAGGATGATAGGCCAGCGGCTGCCATATAGCTGAGAAGGTAAGCAAGCACTGAACAAGGCATTTGTGAACAGAAGTTCCTTCTCCATGTTATTCCAGTTAGTTTAGAAGGTTCACCAAAATAAAACTTCTAGCCTGGAGGGTAATAAGATTTTCCAGCCTGAGTAAAGAAAGTCCTCACCCCATTACTGGTATCCTGTCCCCCAACACGTACTTTTTGGGTGGTGAGTGCACGCTTGTATGCACTTATCACCTTGGACAGGAAAAAAGTTTAATTTATACTCAAGCACATTTTGTACATTTTTTCCTTTATCCAGAGGCTTCTAGTTTTATACTCTTCCCATGTCTATTCCAATTCCACCCACCTAGCTTATTATTCTTTTTCTGACCCTTGGTACTCTCATGTTCCTTCCCTACAATTTGGTCGAGTTTCATTTTGTCTCATTTCAACCTTTCAAATAAAACACAAACATTACCTCCAGGTGTCTTATCCATGGGTGGAAGCTGGGAAGTTGGTGATGGGCTCATATTTGCTACTGCAGGAATACAGGTGGCAGCTTAGGAGGCCAAAGCCATGTCTCACAAAGCAGGAACTAGGCACACTGAATCCCATGCTGCTCCAGCCCCTTGGCCAGAGACACTAAGACCCCATTTCCATCAATAGGAGCAGAAATTCTGCACAGGAAAGGCAAGCTTAGAGGTTTGGAATCAACCTTGGAAGATTAAGATCCTGCCTGCTATCTCCACCAAACCAGTCATACTCACCCTAACACCCTGTGTTCTCCTTTAGGCAAGTGTGAGAACCTGTGTGGAAGGGAAGATAAACACACAGAGTCTTTTGAATCTCTATCAAATGTGGTTTTTATTCAACTGACAAGCACTTTTCTACAGCTGCACTTGTGGAACATCACATGGCAAAAACAGGAGTTTTTTCTCTAGACTTTTTTTTCTTTTTTTTTAACCTTATTAAAAATGAGGTTGGTCCTAAAAATATAGAAAGAAATAAATTTAAATTCACAAAAAACTGTACATTATCAAAAAGTCACTAAAACACCACATTTGGTTATATAAAAAGTCAAGTCCCTTTTGATGTAAAAGGAACATGGAAACTTGTTGGTGTTGATGGTGTGGTTTCTTCCTGTTACCAGACTGATAGGGGGAAGGGAAACAAAAGGGTAGGGGGTGGGTTTTTGTGTGTGTTTTTTTTTTAACCTGCCTTCCCCACCAAATACTCTTATTTATCAAGAAGAGAAAAAAATCCACCTAGCTCAAGGGGCAGTGAAGATAAGGAAAGAAAAGTGAGAAATGGCCCCTTTGATCATGCCCTACCCCACCCCCCCTCAGCCCCCACACTTCAAACTGAGGTTAGGACTCCACCCCACCTTACGAGTGCCTGGTCCCTAGGGAAAGAGATGGAGCTGGGAGAGGAACACAAAGTAGGAACAACTGAGATTTCACTCCCCTATCCACCTTGCCTCCAACAATAAACTCTAGTACATTTTACACCAGGGGCAAACTGCCACGGGGAAAAAGAAGAGCCCCAACTATAACAGTTCCAAATGTTTGACTAACACAAAGTTTGTTACAGCGCAGTTATTTAGATAAAATATAAATATTTATGCATAATATAAAGTCAATTCAAATATTCTTCAATCCACCTCTTATTTAAAAGCAAAAAAAAAAATCTCAAATAAAATTAAAAGTTTTGAGGTTTATCTGACAGAAAAGGCGACTTTAGAAATAGGCTATGGGGGAGAAGGGGCATAAAGGAATAAGAAAGGGCTGCCCCAGGACCTACACTGCCCCCCCCCCCC